TGCAGTTTGGAATTTACTGAGAAGGGTTTCAAGAGATAGGCATATGATGGGAAGGGGGCTTTAGTTAAACAAACATTAATTAGCTCACATACATTACATCATCAGCTGAGGAAATATTTTATTATTTTCTCAGTTATGTTAACTACGAAATAAAATTTGAATGGCACTTGAATAGTTTCTATTACAAAATTTCTGTACTTTACCTGTTATATTTGTTAGACTTTTAGTTGAATTCTAGGTAAAATTTGAGGAACTATTATAAAATGGCTGTTCTTTAGTTATATCAATCAATTTATCAGTGGCATCTGCAGGGGTGGTATCACCAAGTGTGGTAACTCATGTGTCACCTCTTACCCCTATGGATAGAACAAGAGAATCCCTGTCCCAACACACACACACACACACACACACACACACACACACACACAGTTAAGCCAATCTCATCAAGGGTCTTCCACTTTTTCTCTGGCCCTCTACTTAACCAATTACGACGTACTTCTCCAGGGACTGGTCTCTCCTGACAATATGTCCAAAATATGTAAGACCAAATAATAAGATCATACATCCTTGCCTAGAAAGAGCACTCAGATCATACTTCTTGCAAGACAGAGATGCTTGTCCTTCCAGCAATCCATGGTACTTTAACTATTCTCCTCCAGCACCACAACACACACACATCAATTCTTCAGTCTTCCCTATTCAATGTCCAGTTGTCACATGCATCTGAAGCAATTGAAAACACCATTAGTTAGGTCAGACACATTTTAGTCCTCAAAATAACACCCTCGCTTTTTGGTACTCTAAAGAAATCTTGTGCAGCAAGATCATCCAATTCAACGCATCTTTCAGTCTCTTGATTGCCGTTTCCATGAGCATCGATTGTGGATCCAAGCAAGACGAACCCCCTGACAACTTCATTCTTTTCTCCACTCATCCTATTAGTCCAGTTGTGAGGATTTTGGCCTTTTTGACATTGAGTTATAATCCACACAGAAGACTCCAATCTTCAACAACCAGTGCTTCAAATCCCCCTTGCTTTCATCAAAGGGTGTGCCATCTGCATATAGCAGGTTGTTAATAAGACTTCCTCCAATCCTGGTGCTGCATTCTTCTTCATATAAACCAGCATACAGATTGAAGAAATAGGTTGACAGGATACAGCACTGACATAAACTTTTCCTAATTCTAACCCAGGCAGCATTCCCCGGTTCTGTTAGCACAACTGCCTCTGGATCTGTGTATATTCCTCGTGAGCACAATGAAGTGTGTGGCAATTCCTGTTCTTCTCCAGGTTACCCACAGTTTGTTATGATCCACACAGTCAAATGCCTTTGCATAGTGAATAAAAATACTCTCAAATTGATTGTGGTAATGATTGCACAAATCTTAATATGAGTGTATGCTTAATCTATATGCTATGGGAGGTAGTATACACATCATAAAGCTATTTTTTAAATATTTGTAAAAAAATCACAAGTAAACATCACTCTGGTATTCTCTACCTTCCCTCAAGATCCATTTGACACCAGCAATGATATTCCTTATTCCACGTCCTCTTCTGAATGTAGCCTGAACCAATTTGGTCCAGTAGAGAGGTTATTTTTTTTTAATATTAATGTGTAATCCATATTGAAGACTATAGTCATTGATCTTCCTCAGTAAGTGCTTTGAATCCTTCTTGCTTTTAGGAAGCAAGATTGTGACATCAGCATATCTCAGGTTGTCTTCTCCCACTCCTGATGCTACATTCTTCCTCAAATAGTCCAGCTTCTCTGTTCATTTGCTCAATATTCAGACTGAATAAGAAAAGTGAAAGGATATGACCTGACACACACTTTTAAAAAAATGTAAAACCACTTAGTATCCCTGCATTCTCTTTTAACAACTACATCTCGCTCAGTGTACAGATTCTGCATGAGCCCAATTAAGTGTCCTGGAATTCTTGTTCTTTGTAAAGTTATCCATAATTTGTCATAGAGAATGCCTTCACATGTTCAATAAAATATAAACAAACAACTTCTTGGCATTCTCTGCTTTAAGCCAAGATCCAGCTGATATCAGCAATGGGGTCCCTTATTTCCTATCCTCTCCTATACCTGGCTTGGATTTCCAGCTGTTCCCTGTTGATATAGGGTCCCTCACAGCAACAGCACAACTTTACTGTTTTATAAAATACATTTGGTAACATTTTATTTGTATGTGATATTAACGATATTGTTCCATGACTTCCACATTCTATTAAATCACCTTGCTTTAGAACTGGCACAAATATGGTTCTCTCCCAGTCCAGTTTTTTGGGCATAGACGAGTAAGCACTTCGAAGGCTATGTCCTTTGTTGAAGCATATCCTTAGTAGTCTCAATTGCTGGAGCCTAATTTCCCCCAATGTCTTCAGTGCAGCTTGCCATTCCACCTTCAATACCATAGCTTCTTGTTCAGATGTTACCTTCTGCACCTGGTGAACATCAACCAATCAATGATTTTTAGGGTAGGTAGTGACTCTGTGTATTCCTTCTATCTTCTTTTGGTGCTTTCCATGCCATTCAACATTTTGCCAATATAATCTTTAAATATTTCAAATTTAGGCTTTTTTTCTTTCAATGGTTTTCAGCTTAAAAAACGATGAGTGTTAGTTTTCTAACTCCAGGTCTTTGGACATTGCATTATAATATTTTGTTTTCTCATGCCATGCTGTGAAATCTTTTGCTCAGTACTTTTATTGTGTCATTTCATCTATTTGCTTTAACTATTCTATGTTTAAAGGCAAGTTTCAGAGGCATTTCTGATATCAATTTTGTTTATTTTTTCTTTCAGGTGTGATATATTCAAAGTTATATTTTGCCACTCACGGAATTGATTTATGTTGTCTTCAACTTCAACCTGCACTTACACAAAAAATAAGTGGCATTCTCGTTAATTGCCCTGCATCAGTAGGGAACAGATGGAAATCCAGAGTCAGCCACTGGCCTAGCTTTGGTTACTGATGTTGACTTCTCTATCATCTCTTCTTACTGACGATTTGATTCTTGTGTATTCCATTTGGTGAGGTCCATGGGTCCACCCACCGATCATGTTGCTGAAAAAAGGGTATTTGCAATAAAGATGTTGATCTTATAAAATTACATGTGCTCTTCAGCTTCGTTTCTATCAATAAGACCATATTTTCCCATCGACTGTTTCCATATTCTGCATTCCAATTTCCAATAATTATCAAAGCATCTTGATGGCACGCTTTATCATTTTGAGCCTAAAGAATTTGGTAAAGTTCTTTAAGGTTTTCATCACTAGTTAGTTTCAAAGCATAAATTTGAAAAATAGTAACTGACCTTTGTATGTGTACAGATATTATCCTATCACAGACAGCATTGCACTCAAAGACAGATCTCAAATGTTCTGTTTTGACAATGAGTCCCCTGTCTTGCCTCTTGGAGTTGCCCTACCCAGTACAATAACATGACCTACAACGGGCAATATCAGTCCATGGAATCCATTTCCATTTCGAAAAGGTCAGATTTTCCTACACTCCTGGTTTGCCATCTTGTAGGCATAAGGCCCAGGATCACAACCATATGCAAGCGCCCGGGCTATAGCTAACAAAGGAAGAGGAAGATTATCCAAAAAAACTGGATTGACACAGTGGGTCTAACAATGGGCACAAACATAGGTAGGATTGAGAGCATTGTGCAGGACTGAACAATGTTTCATTGTGTTGTATACGCATCACAACAAGCAACTCAATAGCACTACAAAAAATTAAAAATGGCTTCAATGACCCAAACCCCAGGCTCTTGTAGAACCGCACCACTGGTAGAATCGAGGCATGTACTAGACATGGGCTGCAAGAGTCTGACTAAGAAGAATGGGAAACTGAATTAGGATGCTGTAGGCAGGAATGGAGTGGAAGAGGCAAGGGAGTTATTTGGGACTTGAAGATGCAGAGTGTGCGAAAAGAAAGAAGGAACAATATAGGTGACTTCAATAGTGAGGACTTTAAATGAGTTAGAAAATTAAGAGAATCTAAGAGAACCTGCTCCTTTGGGGGAGCCCTAGTGGTAGAGTGCTTACATGTGGGTCTGTGACTTGAAAGGTCAGCAGTTTGAAACCTCCAGACGCTCCACCGGAGGAAGACAGGGCCTTGTACTCCTGTAAAGAGTCTCAGAACCCAACGCGGACCATTCTAGGCTGTTGAAAAGGGGACTATGAGTCTGACTCTACTCGATGGCAGTGAGTTCTGCATAGCTCCTCTATGAAGAAAGGATAATATTACTTTAAGAGACACTGGCTTTTAAACCTCAAAATACCATCAAGATGGATAAGTCATATGTCACTTTGAAATATGTAACATTCAAAATATGTAGATCAAAATCATCCTGGGCCTAAATGAACAAACCTTTGAAAGAATTGCAAACCAACGAATAGTAGACAATGATTGTAATTCATTGATACAATCATTGTTCAGAATTTCATTTCTAGTTAAATACACACTTAAGGTTAGGATAGTTATTTATACAGACTTGGTTATTAAAATTAGCCCTAAGAATCTACACTATTATAATACAGGAAAATAATTCACTCACATAATTTTCCACAAATAAATTCCCATAGAATGTGCCCTTTCTTCCACGTGGTTTTTTTTTCCATTTAAAGATCTATATTTTGTCAAACCCCCTAATAATTACTGGAATCTGACAGTATAAAGAAAAAGAATTCTAAGAAAATGCAATTACATATGAAAATGTTAAATTAATTAAGGACTGTTTAAGACCTCTTTTTCCTCACTATAGTTCTATTAAAATGTTACTGCCCAACATTCTTTTGTCATTAATAGAATACAGAATTGGGTTACTATTTGGATGGCTATATTTTTGCAACTAGAGGGAGCTGAAGGACCACAGAGGGTTAGATTACATCCCATTCGAAATTTTAATGAGCATGGTGAGAATCTTTAAATTTTTTAGTCTTCAATAAATTGAATCACATATAGCAATTAGCAGAAAAAATGTTTTTAACACATTTTATTATTGAGTTGGCCATACAAACTTTCTCCTGTAACAAAAGCACTCCAAGTAACATAAATATGCTTATTGTTAGCTTTTTGTGTTTATGTTATATAAATGACAGATAATTGTAACTTCAGCTATGGCAAGAATAAAAAGGCTCATTGACTGTGATATCTATTGGCAACTAGAGGTCTCATAGACTAAAAAAGTGCTTATTTTCAGATTGGAAGCAGATCAAAGTAAATCTCAGTTGTCAAGAATTTAAGCAAAAAAGAAAATACAAGTAGAAATGAAGTCTAACACTATTCCTTTTGTTTCTTCCTGGGCAAGAAGAACAAAAGGTCATTATTTACTTATTCTTTAAATATTTTAGAACAAATGCCAAAATATTCAAATGCATAGGAAAAAAAGGAATGAGAATTCAGGGGGGAAAGGTTAATTTTACTTGCTATTATGTAAACATTTTAGTAACATAGAGAAGTTAAAATCCTTCCATGACAGTGGATATTTTTTCTAAGTAAAGTTATTTTAGTAACAGGGTAGTTTTGTCTTTGTGTCTTTAAAATGATGTGAAAGCATAAATCTAGTACTATCTTCCAAATTAAAACATTTATGACTCTTAAGGCACTATGCTTTTGTATACTCTGTATCAGCACAATGAAATCCATAAAAAATTATTCAGTTTTTTAAAGTAATTAAAAAGAATTTCCTTTACCTAAATATTCAATCAATGCATCTATTCTTTATTTTCATTTTATCAGAAGCCAGCTTACATTTATATAAATCTAAAATTTCCCTTTGTTTCAAACATGCTTGGTAGGTTTTAATTTTTTCTTTATTAAGTGACATTTTGACAGCATGGTACACTTTAAAATGAGATGATTTTACAAAATAGTAATTTGCTGAGCTTTATTTCTCCACAGAGCCCCACAACTAAAGCTGATATTTTTCTCCTTAAAAAATGGAAGCAATGTTTAATAGGGTATATACTACAATATGTAATACAACTTAGCTTAAATTATGATGCTTGTTTTGAATAATAGAATAATAAAATGACTTATCTACAGAGTTACCAACGAAGGAAATTTGAAATACTACATCCATACAGTGACTATACCAAGACTCAGCATGCATGTCATTTTATTATCTGAGCTACTTTAAGTATTTACAGATGACACTAATTGTAGATGAGTGTTTGAATTTATTTATGCACTATGCTTTTCCTTCATTTATGCATAAAGCATCATGTATGCTATACATGCATACATCATTAATAAAGCACAGACATTACAGGGTCATGCTGCCATTCAAAATTAAGATTCTGCATTTAATTCCAATAAAATGGCATCCAAAATTCAATATATTGTTATGAAAATGAAAACTTTTTCACAGTGTGACATTTATGAATACAGTTGGTCACAATGAAATGGGATAGTATTTTATACAAGTTGAAAAAGTGTATCATAAATATACAGACCAATATATAACATTGAAGAACAGGAAGCAAAAGGGAAATAATGCTCTTGCATAAAGATCGATTCGCTTTGCTGCAGTTGGAATAACAGGTTTGGCAGGAGGTGGCTTCTTGTTGTTCTTCGCCTGAGATTTCCCAAGACCGTTGTTGACTTCAATGGGCTTTCCATAGCAGTCATAATTGGATAATTCAAAATCTCTTGGTAAGCTTCCAACAATGCTGAAGTCATTTGATCGCAGGTCAGACTTAGAAGTGCAAACTTTTTTGCATCTTGTTTCACCAACCTAAGAAAGAAAATTAAAGACAGTGTAAATTTAACATTTTTCTATTTACAGAATATATTTCTTCCAAAGGACATTTTTAAAATGACTCGTTCCTCCAAGAGGGTATTTGTTAGTGCTACAAAGAGCCAATGGAGATCATCATTAACGGATTAGACCATCAGATTGCTTGAACACCCAGGACTCTAAAATGATGCCTATGTAATAAAATTTACAAATGGTTGGCAAACTGGCTCCCGGGCCAAATGTGGCTCTTTCTGTAAATATTTGTGGCTCTGAAGGAAAATTGAAAAGTTGTGAAGGATATGACTCAGATCATGGTGATTTCCTTTGTTTGTAGAATTATATTTATGGCTCTTGTGTGAGGGACAGCATGGTGCCTTCCATCTCAAAAATGTGCCGACCCCTGGAATAGAACACACTTTGGAAATATAATTTTATGTGAGGGATAAAAACAGCAAACAACATTCATACCAGATGCCCCACTAAAACTTCATTCTTCCTCAAAGAACTAACCAGGTTACACACCATATAATATCTAAATCTCCTGGCACTTGGCATCAAAGGTGAGGTAGGAAGAAGGAAGATCAGAGGCTTGTGGGTGCAATATCTTGCATGAAAAGTCAGTGGAAACATGACAGGGTGCTGACAATTTTCAGGGTCAGGCAGCCCCCATTAGCACCTGTGGAGGCAGGCAGGGTCCCAGCAAGCTGGAAGGCCAAGGAGAAGAGTGATGGGAGTGTCTCTTTTATAAAAGGTGCCTCCTGGGGATGCATCACCAGACTACCAGCTGATTGACAGGTTGGACTCCGCCCACTCTTCCACACAGGTACAACTAAATTAACATAAAATCTAACTACCACAAGAGTACCGAGTAATTTGCTTTCTTTCTTTCTTTTTTTTCTTTCTTTCTCTCTCTCTCTCTTTCTTTCTTTCTTCCTCTCTCTCTCTCTCTTTTTGAAAAGGAGATGGTAGGCCAAATAAGTTTGAGAACTTCTGTTCTGTTTGGAGGATTGCCTCCTAGTCTGTGTATAGATTTTTCATGAGCACAGCTAAGCGCTCTGGGATTTCCATTTAAAAAATATTATCCATATGTTGCTATGATACACAGTCTAATGGTTTGTATGTTCAAAAACAAAAAATCACAGTATATGTCTTCTCTGCTTTCAACCAAGAGCCATTTGCCATCAGCAATGATATTCATCATTCCACTTTCTCTTTTGCATCTGCCTTGAAGTTTTGATAGAGCCTTCTCAATGTATTTCCACAACCATTTTTGAATTATGTTTGTAAAATTTTACTTGCTCAATGTGTGATGTATTTTTGCATGTGATATTAATGATATTGCTCAACAATGTACACATTGCATAGGGCCATCTTTCTTTGGAATGGGCAAAAATAATGAGTTCACCACTTGGTTGGCCAGTGGTCATCTCCTGAATTTCTTGTCATAGATTAGGGAATGCTTCTAGCATTGCATCCGTTTTTTGAAACATGCCAATTAGTGTTTTATCAAATCCTGTAGCCTTGGTTTTTTGCTAGCTTCTTCCTTCAAGATCAGTTTTGGATCAGATGCTCCACTAGAAATGGAATGTTGACCAATTATCTTCAGCACAGAGTCTCTGTATAGGCTTTCCATCGTCTTTTGATGCTTTCTGCATCATTCAGTATTGTACCCACAGGATTCTTCAATCTCACAACTGGAAGCTTGAGAATTCTTCAGTTCTTTCAGCTGTGCTAAGTTCTTTACTGTTGGCTTCTCTTCCCAAGGTCTTTTCACATTTCTTTATAATGCTGTGCTTCTTCTTCTCAAGCTGCCTTCAGACACTTTCTCTTGAATTCGTTTACTTCATCATTTCTTCCACTTCCTTTGCTACCCCGCGTTCAAGAGAAGTCAAGAAATTAAACGACACATTGCATTAGGTAAATCTGCTGCACGAGACTGCTTTAAAGTGTTGAAAAGCACGGAGCTTACTTTGGGAACTAGCATGCTGGTTATCTGAGCCACGGCTATTTTAAATTACTTCATCTGCATGTGTAAGTTGGACATTGAATAAAGAAGCCTGAAGAAAAATCAATGCAGTTGATTTACGGTATTAGCAAAGAATGTTGAAAATACTATGGACTGTCAAAAGAACAAACAGATCTGTCTTGGAAGAACTACAGCCAGAATACTTTTTAAAGGTGATGATGGTGAAACTTTTCATATACTTAGGACATGTTATCAGAGATACTAGTCGATGAAGAGCAGAATCATGCTTAATAAAGTGGAGGGGTAGTAAAAGAAGGGAAAACCCTTGGCACGATAGATTGATACAGTGGCTACAATAGGTCAAATATGAGCATACTTGTGAAGGTGGTGCAGAACCGAGCAGTGCTTCGTTCTGTTATACATAAGCTCACTACGAGTCAGCACCAACTGGACAGCAACTAACTAACAACAGAAGAACAATATTTAAAAACAGATTTCAGAGCTTCCTCTGACATGCACTTTGGTCTTTTCTCTTATTCTGCCCCCCCCCAAAAAAAAAACACCAACACGTTTAGTTGGAGCTAATACAGAGATCATATCAATTCAGAGTTCAATTGCATCGAGTTGTATTGTACAATTGCCACCACAATCACTTTCAAAGCATCCTCTTCACTTTTAAGCACCTTGACCTCAGCTCCTATTTACACCCCCCCCCACTATACCACTCAGAGACCCTTATTCCATTTGCTTGTTCAGTCTCTGCCTGTCATATACTAAAAACCAGAAAAACATGCAACCAAAATTCAAGAGGGTTACCCCAATAACAGAATATATGGGATAAGCATATATATATATGCTTATCCCATATATTCTGTTATATATATATAAAACAAACAAGCAAAACAAACCCCAGAAAATATCAAAAACCAGATCAGGCCCAGCATGGATCAGAGGGCGATCAAGTGACAAGGTTTTAAGCATTCACGTCAGGCTTATCATTTGGATCTCCTATAGTCAGCATCCCAATGCACTGTGTCTGGTAACCAGTTTCTCCCCACCCTTGCATTATGGGTAGAGGGAAATCACCAGCGGCTTATTTCCTATGTACAGCCCACAGATGTATCTTGGGCTTCCACTGTCATTCATAACTGTCTGCACATCAAAATATCACAAGTTAGACTCTGACACTATTCGCTCCTTTGGCTTTGGATTATGATTTACAATCCTTTGGTCATTGATGTTGGTGTGCTTCGTCCATGTGGACTTAGCTGACATCTCACTTAGATGGCTGCTTGTTTGGAAACAAGCCTTTAAAACCCCAGATGTTATTTTATCTGATAGCCAGGCACCATCTGCTTTTCTTCACCATACTTTGCTATAGCACCCATATCTTCTGTGTTACCTTTCTGAGGGCGAGTCTCAAGCAGGGCCATGATGTAAGAACTAATTGTTCTTAAATTGGAGTTAGGATTTAGTGCAAGCCCCAAA